AAAATGAACTTTCTTTCCATACCTGTATAGATTATAAAATATTGTCCATGCATTCTTAATAATATACGTGTCAAAAATATGTGAAGATGAAAACTAAGCAATCAATCCAAGGAATTTCATGCTTAATTATGTGCATGTATGAAGATCAATTTCTTCATATTGAAAATTTCATGCTTTATTGTTCTTATCTTTGTCTATATATTCCCATATTTCTTAACTAAAAGAATACTGTGTAATAAATTAAGGAGTTAATATTTTTCATGTTGAAAGAGATAAATTTTATTTTTTACGTATACATAAAAATATATAAGACTCATATGAAGAGAAGAAAGAGAATAAGAAAATATGGCCCCACACACTTTTATATATGTAAATTATCTCCTATAATATAAGAAATAATAAACTCATAAATTAAATATACCTTACAACTTAATAGACAACGTAATAAAAAAATATAACTATTATACCTTTAAAAAAAGGATAAGATATTTTATTTATTTTTTTCATGTCTATCTTATATATTTATTTTTAATACCTTTAAAATAAAATATTAATTAATTTTTTGTTGTTGAGATTTTAATCTAAAAATAATGAAGACGAGCATGTAAAATAAACATAAAAAATAAATAAATAGAATATCTATTCCTTAAATAAATTAGTAAAGTAAAAGTATAAACGAGTTAGTCAGCATAGTCAATGAAGCCAGAAAGTCAAGAATCATCTAGCGGTTGCTTTTGGACGTCTCTTCGAAATTCAGTGAACTTACCTTCGTGTTAGCTACAAAAGTTACGCATATTTTAAAGTTTTAATTAATACAAATAAATCATAGGTGTGAAAAAAAAACTGATTTACTTGTTCTGTTCTTGATCTGATAAATATATACATTTTTTTTAACTGTGTTTAAATATTGACCTACTTTTATTTGGGTCAATTTTACACCTGACTTGTTTTTAATAATGACTCATTGACTCAAAACTTGACTCATAACCACTATGTGAAAAAAAAGAAAAAAATCAGAATTACATTAAAAGAAAAGTTTTAACGTAAATCAATTACGTCAAAATTTTTTACGAAAAATATTTCCATAAAAACTTTTTGAAGAAAAATATTTTCATCAAAATTTGTCACTGAAAACATTTTTGAAAAAAAATTTGACTGAAAAAAATTTGTCAAATTTTTTTACGGAATCTAAATTTTGACGAAACACATTTGCATCGAAATTTTCTAACGGAAAAAAATTTCATCACAATTCTTTACAGAATTCAAATTTCGGCGAAAGTTCTCGACGAAAATAATTTCATTAAACTTTTTGACAAAAAATTTTCATCGAAATTTTTAGCAAAATACATTTCCATCGAAAATTTTCGACTAAATATTTTCGTCAAGTTTTTTGATAAAAAATATTTCCATCAAAATTTTCAACGGAAAACATTTCTTTCAAAAAATTTCGTAAAAATTTTTGACAAAAAATATTTCGATTAAAAATTTTGACGGAAAAAATATTGTCAAAATTCTTTATAAAATCTAAATTTCGTCGAAAGTTTCGAATGAAACATTTCTTTCAAAACAATTTCCGTCGAAATTTTTGTCAGAACACATTCCTATCGAAATTTTGAACGAAAAACATTATGTCAAAATTTTTGACAGAATTCTTTTTTCGTTTAAAACATTTGATGGAGGAAATCATTTTCGTCAAAACTTTTGACGGAAACTAAATTTCGATAGAAAATATATTTTTGTAAAATTTTTCATTAGAGAAAAAATTGCGTCGTTTTTCGACAAAAAATATTCCTACGAAAAAATAATTTTGTGATGAAATTTTCGTCGTTTGGAACGTAGAAATTTCGACGAAATTTTGTGACGAAATCATGTCAAAAACGGATCAGGTCAGATTTGACCCACTTCAGAAACCAAGTCAGGTCAGATCCGACCCGGTTCTGAACTAGTTCAAAAAAATCCAAACCAAGTCAGATCCGACTTGGATCAAATTAAAGCGGGTCGGGTCAAAATACATGACCTATAAAAATCAAGTTGGGTCGAGTTGGCACAAAAACCTGACTCGACCTGACCCATGCACACCCCTACAAATAATGGCACTTATGTTGCTGGAAGAAAATTAAACAGGTGGCGGAAGGATTTGGTTTTAATCTCTACTAATACCATTTTTGAAAATGACATACAATCTTAATTTTTGATTGGCGCTGAATTTGAGATTAATTTCATAGTCAGTTTAAAGAGTCAAAATTTGTGGAAATACTCAAAAAAATCCTACTCATCTTAAAAGAGGCAATTACGGTTGTTAAAAAAATTCAAATAATTATTTCTCCATTTGGCTTGTTATTCCAGAAGCCAATCAAAAGTTTCAATTAAGAGTAAACACCATTTTTAGTCTCTGGCAATATCTACGAAGTCTTTTTCAGTCCCTGGCAATAAAAAAGGACCAAATTGGTCCCTGAAAGTACAAGAAAAGGGTCACTCTACATATTTGGGAGTTGACATA